TCACTCCCCTTGTTAACATATTTGCAGATGTATTTGATTGACTTCACCGAATTGCAATATTCCACATTAATGTGGGCTTGAAAGAGCCGACTGAGCAATGGGCAATATGGTACAACCCATTTATTGTCTATTTCGATTTCTTGGATGGAATTGCCAATTCTCATTTTGATTTTGGCTTTGATATCACCATCTTCTGGACTTCTTCTTCTGTATAACGGATATCCATCGTCACCGGTTTCTGTATTCTGCAAGAACTGTCTTGGGTATCTCTTCGTGCACTTGTTATTTTCCATACAGGAAGATTGCGGGTTGATAGCACCACACGGACCGTGGATCATGGTTTTGATGATTATTTCAAACAGGCGGGGATCTCGTTGAGGATCAGGTAGTCCTGAACTGATGACACTATCTATTTGATCCGATTTAATCTTGTCCTTTAGCCATACCAAAATATGTGCATGTGGTAACCCTCTCTTTTGCCATTCAATAGAATACATCCAGCATCTTGTTGGTCCGAATACATGGCTTTTGGTGACAATGTTGATCAGCTTTATGAGCTTTTGTCTAAACACTCTTGCTAACAAATCATGACGATCGGAAGGAGCTTGACCAGGTAGCAGCTCTTCTTGGATATCTTCCCACTTAGGATTGCTGGTGAATGTCACAAAGAGATCGGGTCTTCCCTAGTTTCTCACGTAGGTCATAGCATCTTGTGTATACTCGTGCATGTGACGTGGGCTTTCAGTGAAAGTAGATGGTAGAATCACTAATTGGCCAAGATTGCTTGCATTTCCATCATTGGCTATCGCATCCCTCAGGTGAATGTATTCATCCACTCTCAGTGTTTTCTGATGATAACGTAGATAAGATAATCGTTCACTTTCGATCTTAGCGTACATGTCAACCACAAACTGATGGAAAAGTTGTCGACAGCGTAAGATATGATTGACAGCTCCAAATCGTACCATAATTCTGTAAGCATAGAAGTCCATAGCCGATACTGTCTTACGATCGACAGCCAATCCTGTTTTGGGATCAGTCTGTGCGATAGAGATATCATAACCATCTTCTCCTTCCCAAAATATAAGAGGGTATTGCAAGACGTCATAAGATCTGTGTGTCTCAGACACTCTGTAACTGGCCGTTTTGCTTCTCCAAGACAATATCTCGTTTGTCAAATCCATTGCCAGCAATGACGGCCGCCACCTCATTTGTCGTCGGCGCATTGAAGCGTCGTGCATGCTCTCCAGCTGGTTTCTTGTCTGCTCGAATAACCACCTTGAATTGATCCGAAGGCATTCGTTGAAGAGCAGTCTTGAAAAACTGCACATAAGGATTGTGCTCATGAACCATTTGTTGCAGTTTCTTAACAATATCCTCACGTACGCCGGGCATATTTTTGCAACGTTGTTGTACTTCTTTTCTATCGTCACCCATGAAATAAATTTGAAGAAATTTTTGTTCTTCATTCGAAGGTGGCAACAGGGATCCTACACGATGGTACACTTGACCTTGAACTCTGAAGGTAGGCATGAAGCCTGAGTCAACCATCTTCTTTGACGTGCCAAAAGATGTCATTTGAAAGCAGGAATTGTACTTTCTAATGTTATCCAGGAAATGCGTCGATTCAGGCGTTTTTCCTGACATTAGTGATTCCAATGGTTCAGGAAGAGGCCGAAGTGGAGGTAACTTGACCTTACCACCTGAGCAGCACATACCTGGTGCTTCTCCTGGCCACTTTAACGCCTCGCAATGTGAACAAACATTAGTCATTCGTCCAATAAACAGCTGCGGATGACTGTCGTAGCTTTTTGTTGGATCGTATTTGAACGCTTCCCCTTCCATAAATGTCCATAGTGCTGCCCTTGAAGTTGCTTGTCTTGTGCGCTGATCTTCACTCCGAGTTCGTCTCTGTTCCGAAGTTTCTGCTGCTCGTGAAACAGCCTGCCGTGATCGATCTGCACCACGTTGGGCTTGCAGTACTTCTGGGCTCTCGGCTGCTCTTGAAACAGCATGCCGTGATCGATCTGCATCACGTCGGGCTTGCAGTACTCCTGGGCTCTCGGCTGCTCTTGAAGCAGCATGCCATGCTCGATCTTGGTCACGTCGAGCTCGCAGCTCTTCTGGAGTTTCGACAGTCCTGGAAGCCGCTTGTCGTGTCCGCTGACCGGCAAGCCGACTGCTTGTCTGTTCCGCAGTTTCTGCTGCTCGTGAAACAGCATGTCGTGTTCGATCTTCTTCACATCGAGCTTGTCTTTGTTCTTCAGTTTCAGCTGCCATGACGGCTGCCATTCTTCTGGTAGCTGATGTGCTTCTTCCCAGAGAAGAGCTTTTTTTGGGTGGCATAATTAAATACTTTTTGACCTAAAATGGAAAGGTAGAAAACCTTTTGGAGAAGGATGTTTTTCCGAAGTTACCTGTGCGATTTGTTTTTGATAGCACAATCGAAAATGCTACGGTAATTTGTAGATTCCGCGGGTGTTATATTGAATCTTATGTACTTACTTGTATTTTGTAATTATTTTGATTGATAAAATGTTTTGTATATAAATATTCTTCTTTATATATATAGATGTTGCTAAAACCGTCCGAGAATGAGAAATACTATAGTAAATATATCGCTTTGTTAGTGAAAGATAATAGAAAAAGGCATATATCTATTTATATTGATGCAAACCACTGAAATATTTCAATATCGTCATCTCATGGCGTGATATAAAATTCCAATGGCGGTTTATATGACGCATAAGAAAGAATGCAATATATCGTTGTTGTATATATAACAAATGACAATGACAAAGAAATCACGTCATATTCATTCAAGATATATTCAAGATATATACGACATATTATCTAATTATATCATTCAAATACTTTCTTTCTTATTATCAATACATCATCGTCGTGAGTCATGAAAAACAACAAACACGTTGTTTTTGTGAGTCATCGAGAACAAACGGATGCATCATTGTTATAAATCAAACAAAGACTCGCGTACATTTTTCTCTAATAACCTATGAATTGGGTGAAATTTTACACCCCCTTCCCTCCATCAATGGTGAAGAAGAAGAAGATAGAAGATAGATATAGGTATATAGATAGACGGAACGTGTAAATTGTAGTTAATGTGCGCTCAGACGGCCTTCGGCCGCCTTCGCTACCAATTACTTGAATATTTCGAAATGCTGCTATCCTATTGGTCAGTTACATAGATAGCCTGTAGCAAGCGAACGATTGATTCTTTTTCAGAAAAAAGTGGACGTCGACCTTTCCCAGGATCCAGAAAAGAATCGTGGAAAGTTTGATGATCGTAGCTATCACAGGGACTGAATGCATAGCGAACAGACAAACAGACAGACAGACACACATTCTTCTTTATACAGACAAACATTCTTCTTTATATATATAGATGGAAAGTTTGATGGCGCTAGTCTGTTTTCATAAGAACTGAGTTCCTATTTTTTCCAAACAACCAATCGGATTTGGAGGCAAATGGATCTTAGATTCGAACTCATCGCCTCGAAAAACTCCTGTCCCATCATTTTCTTGGAAGTATAAACGTTTTGGCCCGTTTTCTCAAGAGCTATATTCCTATTGGTTTCCGGCCAACCAATCAAATTTGGAGGTGAATGAATCCCAGATTCGAACTCACCGCCCTCGAAAACCCCGTGCCACATGATTTCCTTCAAATTATAAGTGTTTGGCTCTTTTTTAAGAGCTGAATTCCTATTGGTTTCCAAACAACCAATCGGATTTGGAGGCGAATGGATCCCAGATTCGAACTCACCGCCCTCGAAAACCTCCAGTTCTATGTTTTCTATGTGTTCATGAAGTGGAGCTCAGTAGTAGTTCTATAGTACCGAATACTGCAATCTGATTGGTTAGCAACTTAGGCAGGCATTTCTGGTCGAAGGATCAACTTTTTTTGAAAAAAAAGTAGACGTCCACCTTTCCAGGGATGTGAAGAACATTTCTAGAAAGTTTGGTTGTATTTGCTTGTACGGTGTGGAAGTGCATAGCGAACAGACAAACAGACAGACAGACAGACAAACATTCTTCTTTATATATATAGATAGATGCAGCATGGAAAACTGAATCGAATAAGTGTATTTCGAAACATATGAGGTAGTAGAAATAAGGCAAAAATCTAATTTCATGGGAAAACCTAGTGTTTTTCTTTCATATAGAAAATGTGAGTTTTTTAGCATTTTTTTAGTGTAATAAATTTCTCGAAATTTTATAAGTTCGACATTACAAAGTTTACAAAACCCTTACTATTTAGTATCAGTAAATCCCATTTTCGATGAGCTTTCATTTGGTATAAAACTCATTATATACTTCTCCCTGAAATAATATTATTTCCTATGGGGTATCAGTTAAGTTGCTCACTCCCATATGATCAGAAAAATTCTATAAAAAGGCCTATGGGGGAAAACGTTTATTGCCACTGTGATCAGCTCGTCGAGCTGTATCGATTCGTATAGCTCCCGCTTGAATCCGTGATTAACACTTGGGATAGTTCCCTCGTAAGACTTGGATCTAGTATCACAACGATCTAGCTCGTATGTATCTCTTAACTTAATAGAGAATCTAAAAACTTTCAGAGTGATCAACGTACATTATGAAATATCACGATGAATTTAGTATCATTCAAATTCTTGAAATCATGAAATTTATTGAGATGATCGAAATAATATAGATCTTGATTATAAAATCTAATACGTAATGCTGAAAAAAATATACTGTAAAATGTATATGAGTTTTCGTAAATGTCAAAAAGTAATATGAAAGTTTATAATATTCAAGATAATGCAGACACTTGAAAGGTGCCATCATATATATGAGTATCTGCTAATATTTTTGCACCACTCCATCGCATAATCTTCTCTCCATTCAACATAAGTTGTAATATCCAATGAATTTGACCGCTTAATGTCGGCGAATCAACAAGATTAATCCACCATCGATAGATGCTCATCATGTTATGAGCAAAATCATGATTGCTCACTGTAGCATAGTTTGAAGCTAGTACCCCATTGACAACAATAGTACCAGATGGGGTAAGTGGAGCATAGAATCCTTTCTGTTTCGATAACCGAATGCTGACAATTTCTCCTGGAATGATTTGAGCGTTCTCGATGAATTGTACCTGATCACCAACGCGAAAAGTTCCAGCAAAGCGAGCTTTTCTAGATTTGAAATCGAAGATAAGATGATTAGCAGAGACAAACATTGTAGAAGACATATTTGATACAGTTGAATGTATATCAATGACGAGAAATTCGAAAAGTCCTTCACGTTCTCCATGAATGAATGCAATGATAGGCTCATAGACATTGTTTTCATTGACTAATACTCGATCTCCAATCGAGATGTCTGATAACGCTTTAAGAGTACCATCATCGGCAGCAATTTGACTTGAGCCTGGAAAGCAACTAGCACGTGAGGCTGATGTTGAACATGAGTATGACATGCAAACACTTGATGAGACTGTATTACAAGTACAACTCGTAGTATAGTCTATGCTGTTGACATTTATTGGATAGCTGCTAATTAAAACAACCGATATAACGAGAACTGAATTGAATAATGATGGTGACATTTGACTATCGTTCGTAGTACAGATCTTGTATTTTGTTAAATTATAAATTCGAATCTTCTTTGTTGAATTAAATGTATTCTAAAAAGTAGATGATTTCCGTAGCTATACTCATCATATGAACACAAATATTACGAAATGAAAATTGCTAGGTTACAATATATCAGGCTACTATAATTATAATTTAGAATCGTCTTCAATTACAAGTAATGATAGATAATTTTGAAGAGTGAATCTAACAAATTAATATCAAACCAATATATCGGCTATGATTTGTCAAGGCAGTAAAGATTGAGAACCTATATCGTTCAAATCACTCGAAAACCGATGGTTAACCGTTTGGTTAGCACAGTTTTCCATCTGAATGCTTTTTTCGTATCGCACTGGATGAAGATTTTTAAACTCTTACAAAATCGTGAGAATTAGCTTGAAATTGGTGTCCTTTATAAGTGAAAGCGTGTTGAAGCCGCCGGTACCAGCCACATCTACTAGATACATTTGTGGTTACTGTTTAAGACAAAGAAATGAACTATGGGGAAATATGAATATCGTTACAGAAGCTCATGGAATTCTATAGCGATAATCGATTAAGTGCAAAATGCTAGAGTGTGGGTGGGGATGTGGATGTGGGTGCGCATGTAGATGTTTCTCGATGTGTTCACTACTTTCGTCCATATCACACGTGTGATACCCACTCAAAATAATTCTCACATCCACACCTATCGTTAGCAATAAACATTTGAAACTTTTGAAAAATTCTTCCCTATTCGGATTGTTTTCATTTTTTGTGTGGTTTTTTTCAGGAATTATTAAACAAAACAAGATATGATCAAATTTATATAACGAATGAGATTTTTTCATTGGACGATTCCATGAACCTCTATAATATTATCCATATTTTCATTTAATTCATCGTTTTGCTTTAACAGTAACCACATACATTCACTTGATTCTTGAGTTTGGGTTTTTATTAAAGATAACACTAAAAATAACTATCCGCGAGATAACTTAAAAAATAGAAAAATTATTCAAGCCATCTGACAAAATTTATTGCTACATTATTATCTAGACGATTTTGATTTGTAACCGATTTTTTCAAGACTAAAAGTATTCCTTTAGAAGTAAATCTTTAAAAAAAATCGATAGGTGAAGAGAAACCGCGTAAAACCGTCAGTTTTGATGAAAAATCGACAACATAGAAGTAGTGGTGAAAAGTTTAAGTTTGATTTCATGTAATTCGTTTAATCAACTTAATCCTTTCAAGTTAAATTTGATTTCACACTAACTTTGATGTACTGTCTCTAATATACTGATAATGGGAAACTAGCTGTTCACACTATATTCAATAATGATTGCTGTTTCGGACATTGATAATTCCTACCTAACATAAATCAACGTTCGAACCAATAGAATTGTCCTTGTACGTATCAATACTAGTAGAAACCTTTAGATTAGATTGCCTGGTATATCAACGTGAATTATTTTTCATTTTTTTGATTGTATAAATGTCAAGTCAAGTTCTTAAATTAGTCACATCTGTATCCTAATCACTACAGTTGTCTTATAAATACTAATTTTCAGTCATTTTTTATATTTATTTTCATAAATTATTTCTTTCTTAGTATCTATTGACGAACAGAAGAGTTTACATGGCTAAAACTTCGATGTTAGCTTTCCACATTCATCAGCTATTCGTCAGACATGGAGAATAATAAGCGATTGTATGTTTAATATATATCTTCTATGGTATATTACCTTTCTTATCTCTTCCATCTGTGCGTAATATATTTTAGAAAAAGTAGAAGAAAGATGAGTAAATTAGTGATGAACGATAATCATAAATAATTATTCAACTTTGTTACGATAATATCAATTGATATGAAAGTGAATTTCTAAAAACTGTGATAATGTTATTATGATAAACTTTAATTAAACGGAATAATTCGACACATATAAATTTTAAAGAACAGAAAGCAGTATATGTAACTATACAATACTGAAATTTTACTTCCTTTGACTTTCGATGATAAATATCATTCAGAAAAATAA